GGCAAAATAAAATTAAGAAGAAAAAAAAAATTTTATCGTGAAAATTTATTATGAAAATGTACACAAAAGTAAAGAGAACAATATAATAAAACTCTATATACACCTATTTCCCCAATTCATCAATTATCAAATATTGAAAAATATTTGCCACACTTCCTTTACCTTCTTTTTTTTTTTTAAACTGATCTCTCTCCTAGAGTATTTTAAAGCAAATCTCAGACATTACTAAATTTTATCCCTATATACTTCAACAAGCATCTTTAAAAAGGACATTTCTTAGGGGCAGCCCATGGCTCACTTGGGAGAGTGTGGTGCTGACAACACCAAGTCAAGGGTTAAGATCCCCTTACTGGTCATCTTTTAAAAAAAAATTTTTAAAGGACATTTCTTAAGTGTTTATAGTGCCACTATCACACTCGCAAAATTAACAATAAACCCTTTATTTTCTGCACTACCCAGGTTATGTTCACAATTCCATGAGTAATTATCTATACTTTTTTCTTACCTGCATTTTCTAATTTTTTAAAAAAACAAACGTATTGTTAAAAAGCAACAGTTAAAGAAGTTAAAGTCCTTTGATTTAAACATTTTTTTCTGGAACACAGATTACCTTTAGCTATTAAATGCAAAATCTGATGGATCCAGCAATGTTCTAAAAGACAATAAGAGCTTGCAACTTTTTAGCAGCTTAATGACTCTTTAGCATTCTAAAGAATTCTTTTTGTCCTTTTTGAGATCGGCCACACCGCGCTCAGCCAGTGAGTGCTGTGAGCGCACCTGTCATCCCTATATAGGATCCGAACCTGCGGTGGGAGCGCTACTGCGCTCCCAGCGCCGCACACTCCCGAGTGCGCCATGGGCTCGGCCCAAGAATTCTTCTTAAAGATTTTCCAGCTTAAGTATTTTAAGGCAGAGCAATATGGGAGGGGGAGGGGGTGTGTTTGGGGGAGAGAGAGACAGGGAAACGGAGAGGTTATTTCCACAATCAGATACTATTTAAGCACAGTGTTATCTTTTTTTTTTTTTTTTTTTT